AGGGGAAGAGGAAGTGCAACAAGTGGAAAAGTTATTTGAACAAATAATAAAGGAGAACTTCCCCAATCTGGCAAAGGAAATAGACTTCCAGGAAATACAGGAAGCTCAGAGAGTCCCAAAGAAGTTGGACCCAAGAAGGAACACACCAAGGCACATCATAATTACATTAGCCAAGATTAAAATGAAAAAGAGAATCCTAGAAGCAGCAAGAGATAAGGAGACAGTTACCTACAAAGGAGTTCCCATCAAACTGTCAGCTGATTTCTCCAAAGAGACCTTACAGGCAAGAAGGGGCTGGAAAGAAGTCTTTGAAGTCATGAAAGGCAAGGACCTACATCCAAGATTGCTCTACCCAGCAAAGCTTTCATTGAGAATGGAAAGGCAGATAAAATGCTTCTCAGATAAGGTCAAGTTAAAGGAGTTCATCATCACCGAGCCCTTATTTTATGAAATGTTAAAGGGACTTATCTAAGAAAAGAAGATAAAGAAAAAACATGTATAGTAAAAGGACAGCAAACTCACAATTATTAACAACCACACCTAAAGCAAACCCAAAAGAAACTAAGCAAACAACTTGAACAGGAACAGAACCACAGAAATGTAGATCACACGGAGGGTTAGCAACAGGGGAGTGGGAGGAGGAGAAAGGGGGCAAAGGTACAGAGAGTAAGTAGCATACATTATAGGTTGAAAATAGATAGGGGGAGGGTAAGAATAGTATGAGAAATGCAGAAGCTAAAGAACTTATAAGTATGACACATGGACATGAACTAAAAGGGGGAATGTAGGTGGGAGAGGGGGTACAGGGTGGAGGGGAGGGAAGGGGGGAAATGGGACAACTGTAATAGCATAATCAATAAAATATATTTTTAAAAAGAATAAAATAAAAATATGAATAAAATGGCAACAAATACACATCTGTCAACAATTAAATCTAAAAAAAACAAAACAAAATAAACAAATAAGCATGACTGGAACAGAATCATAGATACAGAGAACATTTTGAAGGTTGCCAAATGGGGAGGAAGGTGGGGGTGTCAGGTGAAAAAGGTGAAGGGATTAAGAAGTACAAACGGGTAGTTACAGAATAATCATGGGGCTGTAAAGTACAGAATAGGAAATGGAGTAGCCAAAGAACTTATATGCATGATCCATGGACATGGAACATGGGGTGGAAACTGCCTGAATGAGTGGGGTGACTGGGTAGAGGAGGTCAAAGGGGGGAAAATTGGGACAACTGTAATAGCTTAATCAATAAAATATAAATTAAAAAATAAAGAAAAAAACAACTGAAAAGTATTCTCAAAACATGAAGTAACACAGAAACTGGATGGACTATAGGGGAAGATAATAGTTTTAATGAACAGAGTTTTCTTTCACCTCAGTAAGTATAACTTCCCAGAAGCCCACATATTCTTCACAGAAATTTTAAGGATTAACTCAACAAATTCTGTGACCCACAACAACGCCATGTCTGCTCTATCTGGGCAAACTCAAGCAGCAGCTTGAGACCATTGTGCAGCATGGTGCAGCAGGACCCCAGGCACTACCTGCACGAGGGGATGCAACTCAAACTGACTACCAGGCACAAGCTGGAGTCCACCCAGAGGATGCAGAACAAGCAGGCCCTGCTCCAGGCAGTCATTGGCAAAGAAGGAAGGGGACAGTTTCAACATACAGTGTCTCAAGCTGGCCTACATCCTTCATGTTCTGGAAGCACCTGATCTTTGTAAACTGTACATTGGAGCTAATATATGAATGTGGCTAGTGTATTCAGTGAACCCTCTCTCTCACTGGTGTCTAGGAACATGTCTCCTTGGTCCAGAGCAAAAGCCAAGGCTGTTGCACAGTTTTGTGCAAGTTCAACCCAGCCAGTTCAACCCAGCAGCTCTGCACTGTTTGTGAACCGGAGTAAACATGCCATCAGGATGGTGGTCACAGGCAGAGAAAATGCACAGGAAGCACTGGGTCCCTTTTTCCTTATTCCTGGAAGCTGCTCTGCTTGGTTTATTAATTCTGAATATACTCTACACCTGACACTCTATGCCTGAGTGTCTGGAGCACAGGTGGCAAACACAAGGCCTGTGTGCCAAATCTGCCCCTCTATCTTGTTTTATTAGGCCCTGCACTTTGTTTCTACCCGGTGGCAGCACCAAGCTCTCGCTTAACTGTTAAGGAATAGTTACATTTATACAGTCCTAGAATTACATTTGGCCCTTTGAAGGCAGCCATGAGGCTGATGTGGCCCCCAGTGAAAATGAGTATGACACTCCTGGTCTAGAGCATTTATAAAAATGGTCTAGAGCATTTACAAAAATGGAAGAGGGACACCAAAATTTAATGAATTACAATTAACTATTTTTAACCACCCCCCCAAAATATGCAACAAGGCATCAGTATTATATGTCTTTAAAGGCTTTATAATTTAACTGGTATTTACTATGACAACAAAAAATAAATCCTGCCTTTGAGTCATTTATTTAACATACACTTGAAATTTTCCTAAGGCTTGATTAGCTTCTTCATTCAAGGAAATTCCAGGTTCATATTTCACTGGTGAATTCTACCAAACATTTAAGCAAGAAACAATACCAATTCTATATAATATCCTCCAGAAAACAGAAGAGAAGAAAACATTTCCCATTTTATTGGAAATAAAATTACTCTAATGACAAAACCAGTTAAAAGACGTTAAAATTACAAACCAATATCCCTATCCCGTAGGAATAAAAATATAAAAATAGCCCTCCTTAATTAGAGATCAGTACACATTACAGGTTAAAAGAAGAAAACGCCTAAGCATATCATCTTAATGATGTGAAATGATTGATATGTTATCTTACTACTACTGTTTGTTGGAATAAGGTGATATTTTATATGATGCCCTGTTCCTGCCTAACCCAACATTCTTTCCCCCATCCCTTTCCTAATTATCTTCTTAGTTCTGGAGATCACCCTTCCTCACACATCCCCTCCTCTAGGACTGTCATCTTCAAGGATGCAGTCAGGATCAATTTATTACAGTAGAAAACATACAGGGCTGGCCAACTGAGGGCTGTCTCTATTCAACACAGCCCAAAGGAATCAAGAATATTAGGCTCATCCCCTGAAGAAAATTATCCCAAAAGATCCAAAAGGGCACCATACTAAATACTACTGTACAAATAAAACCCAAACAGCCTCAGTTTAATGCTGTAATAATTATGTTCTTTTTACTTAGGGCAAATCATGTTTAATTCTCTTATAGAATACTTTTTAATGGAGTAACTCTACCCTTAGCAATCCTATATTGGAGAAGCAGGCACACTTCAGTAAGTTAGCAAATGCTTAGGATAGATAGAGACCCATTCTAAACTCTTTCCCAAACACACTGCTTCACTTCAACCCTTCACTCACGTAGTGCTTTAACTACCTACTTATAAAATGTTAATAATTGGCTCAAAGAGCTCCAAAAATACCAAACACATGAGAAATACAGTATTTAATGTATGTGTGAATAAAATTAATGGCATCACTTACACCAATCTTTATTTTGATTTAAGGTAACAAATTCTATCATTTCATTTTTCCTCATCTCTAACCACATTTCCTCCAACAGCCTAGCATTTCTATTAAATGCAGGCTTTGCCTTACATCACCACAGAAAGTATCTTTTTAAATTGTTGATATAAAACAATCTACCAAACTTTATTAAATCAGGAAATTCCTTTAAAAAATATACAAGTAGCCTTGGTTGGTGTGGCTCAGTGGATTGAGCGCTGGCCTGTGAACCAAAGGGTCACCAGTTCAATTCCCAGTCAGGGCACATGCCTGGGTTGCAGACCAGGTCCCCGGTTGGGGGTGCAAGAGAAGCAACCACAAATTGATGTTTCTCTCCCTCTCTTTCTCCCTCCCTTCCCCTTCCTCTAAAAGTAAATAAATGAAATCTGTAAAATACATACACACACACACACACAAAAGTAGATAAATAATTTTAAAAAACCAGTATCAGTAAGCTGAAACTGAACTCTTATACCAAGGACCATATTGTTTGCCAAGCCTTCATCCATCGAGATGGCAATGCCAAAAGAACAGAGACCTCCTTGTCAATTTTCAGATAACCGTGATGGGTTGCCTGCCATAAGCCAGGCACAATAATGACATGAATTTACAAGATGAATGGCCAGAACAGGAAAGGCCATTTCAATCTAAGATATATCCCCGTGGGTGACAATAGCTACGCAGCAGCCAGTAGTTTCACTTTGCGTTGTGTCACAAAGTGACTTCAAAAGAACAAATTAGCCCTAACTGGTGTGGCTCAGTTGGTTGGGTGTCATCCTACAAAGCGAGAGGTCACCAGTTCAATACCCTGTCAGGGCACAGGCCTGGATTACAGGTTTGGTCCCCCAAATGGGGTGTGTATGAGAGGCAACCAATCAATGTTTCTGTCTCACACCAATATTTCTCCTTCCTCCCTTTCTCCCTCCCTTTCCCTCTCTCTAAAAATAAAAAAAATCTTTTCAGAAAGCAAAAAAAGAACAAATTAAACATTAGACTGAAAGTAATAACATTAAATGACCTAAACCTCTCCCCAAAACAAAAGTAATATGCTTTTTAGTTGAAAAATCATTGAAATTCAAACTAAACAAGAACAAAATATCAGACTAAATGAAGCCTACAATGTGCAAGCATTTCTAGCAAAGGAAAGAGGGTACCAAAAAGTCAGACTTTTCAGGTACTGCCCAAGCAAGATCCATTTATTCTAACAATTCTGTGTTTTCATATCACATGTCATAAAAGATCCACAAAGATATTACTCGGCCATATTTTATTTACATGATTACATACCACAAAGAATAAAAAATATGTTCAAATTCTAGCTTTTGGATTATACTCTCAGAATATTCAAATATGCATTTTCTGAATATTCAAACGTACACTTTCAAAACTGAAGAATTCTTGTCTTTTGCACAAAAGCCACTTCTAAAACATACAGTATAGAGGTGTGTGATTTCACTTACTTGCTTTCTTATGTAGTAACTTGTGAGTAGCCCAACTTCCTTTAAAACATTCCTGAAAGAGCAAACATGAAAATTAGTGTCAGACCTTCCTTAATTGGGAACATCTTAAAGAATGATGCATATAAGAAACGGTCATTAAGAATTTCATTTGCAAAAAACAAATCTCTGACTTCACTAAATACTGAGGAAAGTTCAAGAAATGACGCCTGCTTAAAAATTCATTTCAAAGAGCAACCTAAACTTCACATTACTTCAAATAAGCAAGAAACATTAGTCTATATTGTAAATAGCAGTCACAGTTAACATTTCAATTTTGTCACTAAATTATTTAAGTATTTTTTAAAATCATGAGCCACTTAATTGTTTTTAAAAAAGACAAGAAAAATGGTGCAGCCTCTTCCATTACTATAGCAGTTTAACTCTCAGTCACACCCACCTCGTTTACTATGTGCTGACAGCCCTACTAGATGGCGCCCCATGAAGGAAGCGACCATGTCAAGTGTACCATCGTGCCCCAGAGCCAGGCAGACAGCCTGGCACACGGTAAAGCTTCAGTGAGTATTTGCTGATTAGTCAAATGGATGAATGACTAGAAAGGCTAAGTTTTTCATTTAGGAAAGTATGTTCATGTAACATATTCCAGACAACACCAGCAAGAAGTACTAAACTAGAAAAGTAAGTTCAAGTAATAAATTGAATTAAAATAAACTCAAGCAATAAATATTATTTATGCTTTGATTTTTAGAGTATCTCCTTCAAAGAATTTAAAATTACTCAAGTACAGTAGTTCCCCTTATTACAGTTTCACTTTCTGGAGTTTCAGTTACCTATGGGCAACTGCAGTTCAAAAACATTAAAAGAAAAATTCCAGAAATAAACAATTTTTAAGTTTCAAATTGCACTTCAGTGTGAGTAGCATGATGAAATCCCATGCAGTCCCGCCCAGGACATGAATCACCCCTTTGTCCAGCACATCCACATTTTCTACACTGCCTACCTGTTATTATCTTAGTAGCTGTCTCAGTTATCATACTGGCTGTCTCAGTATCACAGTAATTGTGTCCAGTAACCCTTATTTTACTTAATAATGGCTCCAAAGCACAAGAGTGGTGCTGGCAATTTCAATATGCCAAAGGGAAGCCATAAACTTTATCACGGGTATATGCATACAAGAAAAAACATAGTACAGGTAGGGTTCAGTACTATCCAAGGTTTTAGGTGTCTACTGGAGATTTCGGAACATATCCCCTGCTGGTAAGGGAGGACTACTATAAATCATTACAAATACTAAGAAAATTCACAAAGTCCTATAAATGTTTTGACTTTACAAACATAAAAAAGTAAGTCATGAGTAAAAGCCAAGACAAAACAGAAAATAAAGCATCCCTAGAAGTATTTGGCAATCACAGCACATTACACTGGTGATGCTAAGGCTACTCTCCTGAGGTTTGCCCCAGGCCTCTGAGAGGTCAACTTTTCCCTCCAGGCCCAGGATTGCCACTATTTTACTTTACTTTCACTCTCCTTGTATCCTCATATCCTGCAGCAGTTAAGTCAAGAAAACCCAGCTCATATTTATTCCCTCCTACTACAACATCAATAGAATCCAAGTGTATAAAAAGACATCCTTAGATTTTTTTCATTCCTGAAGCTATAACTGAGTTTTGTCTTTTGGGGAGGATGTGAGGGTGGTGGGCAGAATAATGGTGACCCAAAGATGTCCATGTCCTAATCCTCAAACACCTGTGACTATGTCAGGTTACCATGACAGTGAAGGGGAATTAGATATGCTAATCAGCTGACCTTGAGATGCAGAGATTATACTGTTTTATCTAAATGAGCCCGATGTAATCACAAGTATTTTTAAAAACGAACTTTAAAAAGGAGGAGGTAGGAGTAAGAGAAACATGTAATGATGGAAGCTGGGTCAGAGAGATAATTACATTACTGGCTTTGAAGATGGAGGAAGGGGGCCGTGAGTCAAGGAATACAGGCAGCCTCTGGAAACTGAAAAGGTCAAGTAACAGATTCTCCCTAGAGCCTCCAGAAAGGAATACTGACCTGCCAACACCCGATTTTAGCCCTGAGACCTGAGGCTTCTGAGCTACAGAACTGTAAGATAATAAATCTGTTGCTTTAAGACATCAAGTGTGTGGCAATTTGTTATGGCAGCTACAGGAAGGAAAACAGTTATCCCTATTTGTTGTCAAATTGCAAAACCACTCACAACTGGTTTCTCTCCATCCCAGAATTATAGGAAATTGGTAGAAAAACGAGTATTTATGCCATAAGAAAGAGCTATTATGATTACTTGAAAAGTCCCAAGAACTAAAATAAGTGATTTCTTCAGTAAAACCACATTTACTACAGAATAAGAAAGGAAAAGTCAATGTTGATTTATAATATGAAGATAACCATAAGCTACTGTTTACTGAATAGGTACACTATACACAATATTTCATTTCATCCTCACAAAAATTCTGCAAGGCAGAGGACATTATCCCCACTTTACACATGACAACACTGAAGCAGAAACAAGCTTGACAATCACATAACAGAACCATACCCAGCAAAACTAAGACTCAAACCCACATTACTGCATTAGAAGCGATGCTTTCGAACTGCTTTACTGTGTGTGTGTGTGTGTGTGTGTGTGTGTGTGTGTGTATGCAATTCAAAGCATCAATTTAGCACTAAACTTAGAACCAGAAAACATGGGTGTGATTAAGCTATACCATGTATTAACTATACCACTGTAAGCACTGAAATATTATCTTTAAATCTAGAAATTGGTTATTATTAACCACTCTCATGGATCCTCAATTGCCTCACAGATAAAGTGGGGTTGATAGCTCCAGGAAAAGATAATATAGCAGACTACAAGAAATGGTGTAAATAACCTACATGAAAGTAGTTGACAAAGTGTCTAGCACACACAGCAAGTATCAATATATGGGAGCCCTTGACATCCCAGCGCTTATCACTATGCCTGGAATTGAACAGGTTTTCTCAATATATGTTGGAGAGTGAATGAAAAGTAATGTGATCACATCCACAAAAGCCTTCTAGTTGTAGGTGGAAATGTAAACTGTGTTCATTACCTACTAGAACAGACTGCAAACTGCCTACTCCATAGTCATTCCCCTTTTCCTTAACACCAACAGAATTCTGCCAGTGGAGTTGTAATGCTCCCTGCTAAAAACATCCCCAGCCTCCTTAATTACACGGGTGGCCAAGTGATCTAGTCTGCCCAACAAAATGTAACTCTAGTTGTTGAGTAGGGCTTCTGGAAAGCTTCTTAGAAAACAGGCACTATTTTCTACTCGTTGCCCTTTCCCTGGCTTCAAACAAGGAGATGCAGCCTGACAAAGCAACAAACACATCCCAAGAGGCCTGGGTCCTTAATCATTTTGGGCAGACACTGGAGTGATGCAGTAGAGCCTCTGGAGGGAGCACAGCCCTTGATTTACATTCAGTGAAACTGATTGTGGACTTCCAGCCTCCAGAACTGGGGGAGCATAAATCTGTTATGTTAAGCCACTCAGTTTGTAGTGATTTGTTACAGCAGCCACAGAAAACCAATACAGTAACTGACCAGACATCAGGGCACACTGGAAGAATGAATCCAATTGATGACTACACTAAACCAGGGTGAAGGACTAATTACAGTCTTTCTGACGCTTTTCTCACTTACATGTACTTATTTATGGAATCAGCTCCCAATTATTCATGGTAACTTATTAAGTGGGGCAAGCAAAGAAGGATGACTTATTTTAAGAAACCTAACTTCAGCCAGCAATTTCAACTTCTCTTCCTCTCCTTTCCAAGCTATTCCTCATCAGTTATGACTAACAAAAAGTTTGCGGCACATTGGTATTTCACCCTTTTTTCCTTCTTCTAGGCTAGCCTGTGGCAAAGATGTTTATGGCAGTAAGAATGTCAGCAAAGGAAAGATCAGAGATAGGGAAGAAAAGTAAAAGGAAAACTTCAAAGTAGATAGGTATTGGAACTCCAGTTTAAGAGTCTGCCAGGCCAAGGCAAAACCCCACCACAGCAGAATGTTAGGTGCACCACTCCCCCTCACTTCAAGGCCTTGATTCTAATGTTTCCTTAACACCAAACCATCTGCATACCAACTACACATGGCACAATTTCCAATCAATTTTCATTATGTCAGCTTAGAACAAACTAACTGAATGTTGCCCACCAAGAACTATACAAGGCTAAGTGGTTTGTACATCTCTTACGTACTAATAGTTAACACTGTAGCACCACTATGAACAGTTCAGTCTTCCCTGAAAAAATTAAAGACTGATTCTTGGTCTAGCACATAAACTCCCTTACCCAATATTCTGAACTGTTTCAATTGTTAGGTAAGTGCTAGCAAAGTTTGTACCCTTAGCCTGGCAATCCCTTTTCCTGCCATCACTGAAATTAGAATATAAAGAGGCAGAAGAGCACAAAAAAGGAATAATAATAATAAAAAAAAATGTTTAAGAACAATACAGAAGTAACATCTGGACAGAGCAGGGTTAATGTAGATGAACTTTTAGACACTTTTCAGCTCCACAAAGCCTATAATTCCATTTTACAAGTAATTATGGAAGAGATTACAAGTTCTCAGAAATTTTTTAAATTACAGTAGGAATAAATATCTCAAAACAAAGTTAGGAAAATCTCCCCCAAATTGTGAGCAAAATTACAAAAAGTTAAAAATAAAGAGATGGTATTTTTGAAACAAAGGATTAAACCAACAAGTCTAACATCTGCATAACCACATTTCAGAAAGAAAATGAAGAGGAGAGATTAAAGAGACAACGTAAAAGTTTTCCATAACTGAAAGACAGAAGTTTCCAGATGGAAAAGACCACCTAAGGATGAAAACCAACTTGCCCAAGGCACACAGTATGAAATGTCGTAATACCATGAACAAGAGAACACCCAATAAGCTTACAGAGAAAAGGTAAGGAATAATTATGCAAAAGATTGTGATTCTCAGTGGTATCAGATATCATAACATAAAAACTCTGAGAAAACCATTTGCAAACTAGA